GAAAGAGTGGTGAAGGTGGGTGGGGTGTTGGTTTATTATTCCTATATTTTATTCTTGGCTTGATGCTTTTGACTTGGAGAACACCAAGCCCATTTTGTTGAGATGAAAATGTCTTTTTTTCTTTTTTCTTTTTCTGTTTTTTTGTTGTTGTTGTTTTTTTCCTATCCTATTGAACTTTAATAACATGCCTCTAATGGACCATCACATTGATTTCTGGAGGCTGCCTGTACAAACATCATAAATTCTAATATCTACAAGAATTTTTTAGTAAATAGTCTGGTGCCATTTACATGGAGGAGCATTTGAATTTCTATCAGAATACCTTGAAAGATGTGAACTTTTTTGTGTGTATACCTGTTTATGGCATAATTTTATGATTCGAAATTTACTAATTTCCCTAGTTATGTAGTTGGTTTGCCTTTCAGGACTTTTCAGACTGCATAACTAAATCCTCCATTATTCAGCAGTCATAACTGTTGAAAGTTGTGGATATGTTTGCATTGCGGAAGAGTCTGTGAATCAGGCAAACTCCTGAGACAAATGTTTGTGACAGGTAGACTGCACCTGCTTGATTAAAAACATTTGCTTCCTGGACTTTCACAAAAAGGAGAAAATAATCTGTAGTTTGTTACTGTAAATTCTGTTTATAGCAAGATGATAGAAACAAAATATATGTATGATACACATTCAACTAAATGTGTCAATAGCTAGTAGGGACTTGTGGACAAATATTTTATAATTATAAAATACTTCAAAATTGTAAGGAAGAAAAGTCATGAATGCAGCTTAAAACTCATCTTGACTATGTAAACTGAATGAAATGAACTGTGTCTAGAAACTTAGGCATGGCTTGATATTTGTTAAAGTTTTTGTTCTGTCTTCTCATCTTCACTCTTCTAAATGACTTTTTTTGTGGTAAGTGTAGGAACACAGCAGAATTTGATCTGAACATTTTCAGGAAATGCAAAAGTAGCTTATTCAAATTACTTGTGAGAATGTTTTATTCCAGTAGAGAGCAGCCTTTGTTTTAAATCAAAATAAATAAGTTGGGGATACAGAAAAAAACAAATGTATATAATAAGGTTATTGTATACTGTACTCCAAATCTGTAAAAATTACTCCCATTTTGTGATTCATTGTATGGTTATTATTTACATACATGGCAGCCTTATCTAGATGTACTTTCTTAGCATTCGAGTGTTCAACTATGGTAAACCTTGGAAAACTGTAGGAGATGGTACATTTTCCAAAGAGTTAGATTTTTAAACCGGAATGTAACAGCATCAGTGAAGAGAGATAACATGGTATATGTGACTATATAGGACATATGTGCTTTGCCAAAAAATATGGGCACCATTTCTCTTTTCTTACATTTTTTGTTTTTAAAAGGGAATAAGCAAGTATATGGCTATTTAGTTATAAAATCCTTCTGGAGAGAGACACCTGGAGTTTTTACAATGACATTACTTAGCTCAGGTCAAAAGTGGATGAAAGTTAAGTTTCATCTTCCCTTAGTTTACCTCATGATAACATTTCAGGAACTTGTCTCCACTGAGTTATTGCAGCAGACAGTAAATATGAATTGATTACACGTGTTACTTTGATATACAAGTGTTGGGATTAGTTATTCCACTGTTTATTTCAAAGCAGTATTTTTGGCAGTGAACTGCCACACTGTACGTTTATGTGGTTGAGTGATCTTGCATGCGCAGCTGCAAGGTTTTAATCACTGGACACAAACAGAAGTAGACAGCCATAACCATGAGTGGTCTATCAACCTAATTATTTTCTTTCATATAGAAATCTGTTGTTTGCATGTTACATTAAAATTTCAATAGTAAAACTTCGTTTTCAGATGTTTGTAAATTGATCAATTTAAGAATGCACTGAATTAAAATTGTATAAAGTTAATTTGAGGAAAAAATATGCTCTTAAAAATGAAGTAATACTTTAAATATGTTTGTTGCTACTGTGACTTTTAATTATTTTACACTTAAATAATATGATCTTCATATTTTACAGATGAAAGCCCAAAAGCTGATAAACCCAAAGTAGATGAGGAGTGTGATGAAAATGAAGAAGATAAAGACTATCACAGGAGTGACCCACAGATTGCTATCTGCCTTGACTGTTTACGCAACAATGGGCAGTCAGGAGATAATGTAGTCAAAGTGAGTACTAAAGATAATCTATGCTGTTGTTATTGTTGGCAGAATAACATTTTACAAGAACCAAATCATTTTATACCCATTAACAATAAACTTTAATGTGGTGGCCTGTCTCCACTTCCATGTTTATTTAGTCCTTTTGTTTCAGGCATTTCAATGCATCCTGGAATTTTGTAAAAAATACAGTTCCATACAGAAATTCATCTGTGACAGTGGAATATGTTTCCTTTTTTAGAAAAATACATTATAATTTTGTAGTCTACATGGTACATAACTGCATTACATAACAGATGACAGTACCACAGAGGTACTTAAAAAGCTAGCTGTAGGTGAGCTACCTTACACTTTCAGGATTGCTGTCTTACTGTGCCAACATGAAGCTGCTTTTCAGGTATGTTGTGCACTGAATGAGTAGGATCCAGATCTTCTGAGCTGTAAACGTGATTATGACACTGATGTGTCATCTGTGGGCTTGGACAGGTCAATTCCATCTGTAAAACGTGTACAGCAATAGCTGCCAACTGCTGTTTTAAGAATTAGGGGTATTTGGTTTCTATTCGTGAAGGGAAGATTACCTAATGGTATCAAGTCTAGAAGAAAGTATTTAGAAATCCTCTTAGATTTTAATAATGTTTCATTAAATTACAAAGACAAGAATTAAAAAATATTGAAAATTTGTCTAATAAAACGCTACTTATATTTTCTGTGTGCTATGTTACATGTATAATTTTGGAAGTTCTTACACAGTAAGAAAGTATTGATTCAGCAAGAAAACACATGTATGTGTTATCACTGTCTGTTTATGGTATATACAGTGAGAAATCTGTATCTCCACCATGTAGCAGTCTCAGGTTTCCAGCTTTCCTGTTGAATGAAAACTATTAGGTTCTGGATCACAGAATCTGTGATACTAGATTGTGTTTCAGGTTTGTAGCTTCCCTGTATTTTACCTAGATTATTTGAGGATGTTTTTACTTCCTTTTTCTCTTGAGGACTGAAGAAATTCTAAGAAATGTAACATCTGTTGACCTCCAGTGTTACTAACACAGAAACTTAGATTATTTAAGTTCTTCTAGGGCTTTTGGTGGTTTGTTTTTGTTTTTTTCTTTCCTCCTTTCTGGATCTTTTCGGAATTTCTTTAGAACCAGAGATGGCTCAAATGAACTTGTTTGTCATCTTGTACATTTTGCAGAAAAGTGAACAAAAATGAACCTGTGGTGCCATTATGAATTAGAAGAGAGTGCAGTAAAAGTGGTTACTGGTTGAAAAAAATATCAATTACAGTTGTTCTTGCACTAAAGATTGCTTGCATGGTCCAAAATTTCTAACATGGTTTTTCTGTTTTGTTGCTTTAGGGTTTAATGAAGAAATTTATCCGCTGTTCTACTCGAGTGACCGTGGGAACTATCAAAAAGTTTCTCAGCTTAAAATTAAAACTTCCAAGTTCTTATGAGGTACATTTGAAAGAACAATACTTGTATTTTTATTTCCCTGCAAGGATTAGGTTTTTATGAAATCTAATTATATATGAACTTGAGTAATATTTTTTTAGCCCAATCACTAAGTACTGTTCAATATTCCAAGTTATATTTTCTGCCCTTAAATGAGAAGTGATTATTTTATCACGATGACAAAAGTTGCTAATCAAGAAACTCATACAATTCTAGTAACGTCAGTTTCTTGCTCACCTGTGAAGGAACAGATACATTATGTTTTGATACTTTTACATAAAAAAATAAATGCTTTCTGTTTCCATGTGGCTAATAAAAAAAGTCAATACAATTTTGGGCTAGTAGCTACTGGGGAAAAGGAGAGCTCAACTAGACATACACCAAATTACTCTGCAGTTCTGTTTTCTTTAGATGTAAGAAACTATCCAGTAATTATGAAGAAATGAGGAGCAATACCATTTGAATCTTTCGAAATACAGATACTGTTTTAGCATGTTCTCTGGAATTAGGTGGAATTTGATCGAGGGAGGGTCTTCACTGCATGAGTGATTTGATCTTGGACAAGGCTGTTCCCCGGCGAGATTTTCTAACATGGTAGACGTTGTGATGCAGGGTGGTGCTACCTCTGCTTCCCCTCTTCCCAGGGATACAGGAATTTTGACCTCAGCACATACTTTCTTCAGCCAGTTCTCTTACAGGAGTCAATGACTCCACAAACTGCAGGCTGCCTTTAGCACAGATGGCAACATCCCACCTTTGGTCAGAGTTAGTTTAGGTGCACAGGTTATTGCAGAGCTATATGCAGGAGTTTGTCACAGTATCATGACATGCTGACCAGCCGTTTTGATGTCATTTGGTTTTGTTAATTATGTTAATTTAATCTGTCTCTGGCACCTTAATGGCTTGTGTTACATAGTATCTGCTTACTTCAAAATTTTGTCATTTTTCTTCCTCTAAAAACCAGAAAAGCATTATGGCTATAATAGTGAAGGAATTGTCAAATGTTTTCAGTGGAGGGTAGAAGTAAGATACTACAGTTTAAACCAGTCATTTTTCACAGTAGGATCATTACTTTTCTTTTTCTTTTGCCTTTGGTTAATGAAGAATCATGTTTGTATACTCAGAAGTAGATTTTCCTTGTAATTTATAGTTATTATTAAACTAAACTTAAATGCCCAACTTAAATGCCTCTAAGCAAATGCACATAGCATGAGGAATAAATAAGAGGAGTTAGAGACGTGCACACGCCAGCAGGGCTGTGATCTTATTGGCATCACGGAAATGGTGGGATGGCTCCTATGACTGGAGTGTTGGAGTGGAAGAGTACAGGCTCTTTCGGAAGGACAGGCAGGGAAGATGAGGAGGGGATGTCACCCTCTATGTCCATGACCAGCTGGAGTGCATGGAGCTCCGTCTGGGGATGGATGAGTTGCTGACTGAGAGCTTATGGGTCAGGATTAAAGGGAGGGCAGGGACAGGTGAAAATATAGTAGGGGTCTACTGCAGGCCACCTGACCAGGAAGACCAAGCAGATGAGGTCCTCTGTAGACAGACAGGGGCAGCCTCACGTTCACAAGCCCTGGTCCTCATGGGGGACTTCAACTGCCCCGATAACTGTTGGAGGGGTAACACAGTGGGGCATAAGCAATCCAGGAGGTTCCTGGAATAATGCATTGATGATAACTTCCTTCTCCAAGTGATAGAGGAGCCAAGGAGGAGAGGTGGTATGCTGGACCTTGTTCTCACCACCAGGGAGGGGCTGGTGGGGAACGTGAAGCTCAAGGGCAGCCTTGGCTTGCAGTGACCATGAAATGGTGGAGTTCAAGATCCTCAGGGCAGCGAGAAGGGCACACAGCAAGTTCACCACCCTGGACTTCAGGAGAGTGGACTTTGGCCTCTTCAGGGAGCTGCTTGGTATACCACCATGGGATAAAGCCCTGGAGAGAAGAGGGGCCCAAGAAAGCTGATTAATATTCAAGAATCACCCCTCCAAGTTCAGGAGCCATGCATCCCAAGAGGAAGTCAGGCAAAAACACCAGGAGGCTGGCATGGATGAACAAGGAGCTCCTGGACAAACTCAAACACGAAAAGGAAGTCTACAGAGGGTGGAAGGACAGGTAGCCTGGGAGGAATACAGAGAAATTATCTGAGCAGCCAGGGATCAGGTTAGGAAGGCTAAAGCCCTGATAGAATTAAATCTGGTCAGAGACATCAAGGGCAACAAGAAAAGCTTCTATAGATGATAAAAGAAAGACTAGGGAAAATGTGGGTCCTCTCCAAAAGGAAACGGGAAACATAGTTACCTGGGATATGGAAAAGGCTGAGGTACTCAACGACTTTTTTGCCTCAGTCTTCACCGGCAAGTGCTCCAGCCACACAGACGAA